AATCACGGAAGGCCTTCCATGAGAAGCTACTGACTTGTATTTTAGCAAATACTGGGGGATTTTGTTTGCTTTGTATATTTTGGGAGCACGCAGCATATGGGATCTTAGTTCCCTGACCAGGGACTGAACCCGCCCCCACTGAGATAGGAGCACAGAGTCTTAAGTACTGCACTGCCAGGGAAGAACCGCAAAGACCTGTATTTTCAGGAAGGATACTCCAAACAGTCAGGGCCAGACTGCTGAGGCCAGGCAACCAGCTCAGAGGCCGGGCAGGAACACAGGCAGGAAGTGAGAAGGGGCCTGATCTGCAGCAGGGGGAGAGGAAACGCAAATGATGAAAATGTGTCCAGTCGGTATCGAGGGAGGAGAAACTGTGGAATTCTGACGACTGCCAGGCTGGGAAGGAGGACAGGAGGCGTGGTGTGAGCAGGAGAAGCCCAAGAAGACTCGCAGGGCTCTGCCTTGAATGAAGAAATACAGAAGGGGAACAAGCGAGAGTGCAGACAGGAAGAGTGGCAGGTTTGGAGAAAAGATGATGACCTCAGCTTGGGACTCACTGAGACGGAGGGCTCAGGAGAGATCTGGACCCAAGAGCCCGAGCAGAGGTCACTGGCCCAGGGATTAGAGTTTACGCTTTGCATGAGATGAGCGTGAGTATGAGACAGGGCCTTGGAGAAAACCAGCATTTAAGGGACAAAAGGAAGAAAAGAGCCTGCAATGAAAACTGAGGGGAAATGGCCAGAGATAGAGTTTAAACCAGGAGTGCTTTTTCACAAGGGAAGGGGTAGTATCAATGTCAGGCGTACTGAGGATGCAAAAAAGAGAAGGAAGGGAAGAGTTCAGGGGTTCTGGCGCCACCGAGGCCTGGTGACTTTGAGGAGACGGTTTGTGGGGAGGGCTGCTGCAGAAGTAGAATTTCAGTGAATGCTGACTTCAAACAGCAGAGGAGGCAGCTTGTCTGAGAAACGTGGCTGTGACAGGGTAGAGCAGCGGTTAATGGGGGGTGTTTTGTTTTTGCAAAGATGAAAGTATAAACAGGGGGATGGGTAGTAAACGGACGGGTTAGTTAAACAGGAATGAAATGGGAACAATGATGGGAACCAGGTCTTGAGGAAAAGGAAGTGATAAAGGGATCTCAGCACAAGTAAAGGAATTAATCTTAGAACACACATCATTTTTTCCCCATGGAATTAGAATAAAAGGCAAAGCGATACGGTCGGCTGGATTTAAGTTTGTAGTGATACAAGCTGAGGAGCCTTGACTGGTGGCTGTAATGCAGTGAAGTCAAAAGCAACACAAGCGTCTGGGAGAGGGACGAACACGTGAGAGATAAAGAGGGATGCGTAGACAGCATCACACTGACTCTCAGATAGTGTGACTGTGTCGACAGCACGAAGCGTCCACGATGAAGCTGAGCAGAGTCGTGTGGGGTCTTGGGTTACACCAAGGACAGTAAGTACAGTGCTGCTCCCCATGGCCAGACTCCTGGAGGAAAAAGGACTTGCTTTCTATGCCACACACTCACGGAGAGATTGACACATAGGGACAAGTTCAAAGGAGGGTAAGCAGAAGGAAGGTGTGAAAACCCCAGAGGTCATTCTGAGACCAGGTGGACCGGCTGACACCCAGCCCGCCACGACCATGGAGATGCACGTTGCCAGCCTGGCGACAGAGCAGCACCTATTGGTTCACCCTTGAACACCCTGTGACCACAGGACTGGAAAAGGTCAGTTTTCACTCCAATCCCAAAGAAAGGAAAAGCCAAAGAATGTTCAAACTACCGCACAATTGCACTCATCTCACACGCTAACAAAGTAATGCTCAAAATTCTCCAAGCCAGGTTTCAACAGTACGTAAACTGAGAACTTCCAGATGTTCAAGATGGATTTAGAAAACGCAGAGAAACCAGAAGTCAAATTGCCAACATCCGTTGGGTTATAGAAAAAGCAAGAGAGTTCCAGAAAAACATGTATTGCTTTATTGACTATGCCAAAGGCTTTGACTGTGTGGATCACCACAAACTGTGGAAAATTCTTAATAGGTGGGAATACCAGACACCTGACCTGCCTCTTGAGAAATCTGTATGCAGGTCAGGAAGCAACAATTAGAACTGAGCAGAGAACAACAGACTGGTTCCAAACTGGGAAAGCAGTACATCAAGACTGTATACTGTCACTCTGTTTATTTAACTTAATATGCAGAGTGCATCATGTGAAATGCTGGGCTGGATGAAGCTCAAGCTGGAATCAAGATTGCCAGGAGAAATATCAATAACCTCATATATGCAGATGATACCACCCTTATGTCAGAAAGCGAAGAAGAACTAAAGAGCCTCTTGATGAAAGTGAAAGAGGAGAGTGAAAAAGTTGGCTTAAAGCTCAACATTCAAAAAATGAAGATCATGGTATCTGGTCCCATCACTTCATGGCAAATAGATGGGGAAACAATGGAAACAGTGAGACTTTATTTTCTTGGTCTCCAAAATCACTGCAGATGGTGACTGCAGCCATGAAATTAAAAGATGCTTGCTCCTTGGAAGGAAAACTATGACTAACCTAGACAGCATATTAAAAAGCAGACATTACTTTACTGACAAAGGTTCCTATACTCAAAGCTATGATTTTTCCAGTAGTCACATATGAATGTGAGAGCTAAACCATAAAGAAGGCTGAATGCTTCTGAACTGAGGTGTTGAGAAGATTCTTGAGAGTCCCTTGGACACAAGGAGATCAAACCGGTCAATCCTAAAGGAGATCAGTCCTGAATATTCATGGGAAGGACTGGTGCTGATGCTGAAACTCCAATACTTTGGCCACCTGATGCAAAGAACTGACTCACTGGAAAAGACCCTGATGCTGGGAAAGATTGAAGGCAGGAGGAGAAGGGGATGACAGAGGATGAGATGGTTGGATGGTATCACTGACTCAAAGGACATGACTTTGAGTAAGCTCCAGGAGTTGGTGATGGACAGGAAAACCTGGCACGCTGAAGTCCGTGGGGTCACAAAGAGGTGGACACAACTGAGCAACTGAATTGAAGACTGTGGGGCGTTACTTACACCAGAAGAAGCAGGGAGGACCAGAAGGAAGAGAGGAGGAAGGCATCAGAGAATCTTATTTCAATGGGCAAAAGAGGAAGACAGAGGTCATTCTGACTTCCAAATAAAATCTCTGAGGTCAAGGATACTGATCAAACAACTTATCATTTTTATTTCCACGTAGAGGATTCATTCTCCCTCCTCGAACCCCAAAATCCTGACTCCCCCAGCATCACCCAACCAGTTAACCAGTCCAGAGAATCTCACTTGCTTGTCTCTTGAATCCACCCACCCCTCTCCATCCCCACAGGTGCTCCCTTGGTTCAGGCCCCCCGCCTCCGCAACAGTGCCCTGACCAGTCTACCTGCCAGTCCTTCCTGCCCACTCTAATCAGCACATCACTGCCTGGCTAATTTAAAAGAGATGAAACCACGTCACAACCCTGCTTAAAATTCCTCAGGGCTCTACTCTTCACACCCACACTTCCAAATAAAGCTTCTTAACATGTCTTAACACGGCAATAGTAACTGCAACAGTTTACTGTTTACCATCTACTAGTGCCAAGTGGCAGAGAAGGCAATGGCACCCCACCCCAGTGTTCTTGCCTGGAGAATCCCAGGGATGGCGGAGCCTGGTGGGCTGCCGTCTATGGGGTCGCACAGAGTCGGACACGACTGAAGCGACTTAGCAGCAGCAGCAGCAGCAGCAGTGTAAGTGCTAACATCCTCTAATTCACTTCTCACAGCAACCCTAGAAGGTGGGTTAATGTCTGCCCTTTATTTTTGATCTGGTTTTTTCTGGGGGGCGGGATGTTTGGCTACATCATGCGACTTACAGGATCTCAGTTCCCTGACCAGGGATTGAGCCCCGGGCCAAGGCAGTGAAAGCCCAGAATCCTAACCACTAGGCCCCCAGGCAACTCCCTATTTGCTCCTTTTACAGATGAGGAGACTGAAGCTAAGAAAGGGAGTAACCAGCCCAAGCTCACAAACTAGCTCAGTGGCAAAGCCAGGCACAGCACACAAGTACCTCAGCTTCCAAAGTCTGAGCTCCTCACGCTGTTGCCCACACAATCCTTCATGGCCTGGCTTTCCAGAGTCGCCTCTTCCACAACTGGGCATTCCAGCTTGACTGAACTACTTGCAGGTCACTCACTGGACAGCCTTCCATTCATGCCACTCCCAATGTCTGGGATATCATCCCACCTCCCTGCCCCCTTCACCTGACTAATCCTGCTCATCCTTTAGGACCGAAGCCTACTGATGCCTCAGCCTGAACTGCAAGCACCCTAAGTCCGCCAGCAAACCCCTACAACAGTTTCATAGTGTAGTGCTGCTATCTCCTTGACTTAAAAAAAAAAAAAATAACTCGAGGACAGGGATGTCTACCTTACTCACTTTGGTATCCCCAGCTTGCCAAGCAGCGCTAGGTGTGCAGCAGCAGCTCGATCAGTACTTATACTTATTTTCTACCACGAGAAACTGGCTGGAACAGAAAAAGGACCCTGCGGTTGCATGTGAGTCCTGTACTCAGCTCCTTAAAGGGTTTCAACATCATGTCACATGAAGGGAGGAGAGGAGTTGGCCAGAAAAGACGCGCCCGTCACAGCGAAACCCGGCAAAGCCAGGAGGGAGAGCCCAGGCGTCCTGGCCCCCGTGTTCCCACACAGGATGTTCAGAGCACTCGCTGCCAGCGGACAGGCGGGAATTACTTCGTTAATTAGCAAGAGCTTCCTAGTCGGAAGACCCCGGGCTGAATCAGCCTGAGGGGGACGTGACCGCAGACAGAAGGCGAGAGCCAGAGTCGGTGTGTCTCCCTAGAGGAGGGAGGCCCGCCTCTTGAACGAGGCTCCTCAGACCCGCCGTGACCCTCGACCTCACCGCCGAGCTCACCACTCAGTCCCAGGGGTACAGAAACCGACCTCGCAGGACCCCTGTCCTCCTCAACGGCGCGGCTCACTTACCGCAACCCAACTTCCGGCAACCGCGGCGCTGTCCGCGGCGCGCGTCCCGATGACGCACGTGGCCCCGCCCCCGCCTGCGGCGGGGGGGGGGAGTGCGCGCATGCGCACAAGGAACCGCTGAACCAGTGAAGGAGCCCCTAGCACCTGGCGGAGTGGGAGGAACTTGGGCCCTGGGGAAGGCGGGGCATCAGGAGGCTGGTCACGCCCCCTCGGTAGAGCCCTGGGAGAGCCTTTCTCTTTATCAGGGTTGGCAATGTGTGTACATGTACCTCAGGCTGTTAAAAGTGTCCCTCCGCCCCTCTAGTGATTTGAGGATGACAGGAATTATCACTTCCATTTTCCAGGCAGCATTTCATTTCGTATCACAGGGACCCTTAGGGAGTCACGTGTGGAGAGACAGGCCCTTTTTAATGCATTAAGTGAAGTGAAAGTCGCTCAGTTGGTATCCGACTCTTGGCGACCCCATGGACGATATACAGTCCATGGAATTCTCCAGGCCAGAACACTGGAGTGGATAGCCTTTCCCTTCTCCAGGGGATCTTCCCAACCCAGGGATCCAACCCATGTCTCCCACGTTGCAGGCGGATTCTCTACCAGCTGAACCACCAGGGAAGCCCAAGAACACTGGAGTGGGCAGCCTGTCCCTTCTCTAGCGGATCTTCCCGACCCAGGAATCGAACCGGGGTCTCCTGCATTGCAGGTGGATTCTTTACCAGCTGAGCTACCAGGAAAGCCATTTAGGGCCCAATGAAAGTCAATAGTGACCAACCTTTTCTTTCTAAACAGGTATTTTTCTTACAGCTTCCTGGTATGAAGAGATAACGTTGTTCATTCCAAATTGTTTATTGAGGGTATATTATGTTATAAGCATTGGACAGTGTTAAAGACACAGCAGTGAGTGTAAACTTAATCTGACATATAAGGCCAGGACTCTAATGTAACTCTATAGAATACTATTTATTGATTATGTATCATATTTCCATGGTTTCCCATCTCTAATCATCACAAAGGTCCTACAAGGTAAAAATTATATCATCACCATTTTACACATGAAAGAACAGAGGATAGGAATAGTTTTGACTTTTTGAAGGTTAAAGAGCTTTGGGGCTATGATTCTAATGGAAACATATTTGACTGCCAAATAAGAAAATAAATCCAGACTTATTATTGTGCTCAGTCACTCAGTCATGTCTGACTCTTTCCAACCCTATGGACTGCAGCCTGCCAGGCTCCTTGGTCCATGGGATTCTCCAGGCAAGAATGGAGTAGGTTGCCATTTTCTTCTCCAAGACTTATTAAGGAGATACTTTATTTGGAAAATTTAGTGCAGAGGGTGGGGAGTGGAGGACTACAGCAGTGTGGAGACAACTCCAACCAAAAGCTGTCTCATTCAGTTTAGTCTCTCAGTCATGTCTGACTCTCTGCGACCCCATGGACTGCAGTATGCCAAGCTTCCCTGTCCATTACCACCTCCCAGAGCTTGCTCAAACCCATGTCCATCAAGTCAGTGATAGCGTCCAATCATCTCATCCTCTGTCATCCCCTTCTCCTCCTGCCTTCAATCATTTGAGCATCAGGGTCTTTTCCAATGAGTCAGTTCTTTGAATCAGATGACCAAAGTATTGGAGCTTCAGCTTCAGCATCAGTTCTTCCAATGAATATTTTGGACTGATTTCCTTGAGGATTGGCTGGTTTGATCTCCTTGGAGTACAAAGGATGCTCAAGTCTTCTCCACCACAGTTCAAAAGCATCAGTTCTTCAGTGCTCAACTTTCTGTATGGTCCGACTCTCACATCCATACATGACTACTGGAAAAACCGTAGTTTTGACTATATGAATCTTTGTCAGTAAAGTAATGTCTCTGCTTTTTAATATGCTGTCTAGGTTGGTCATAGTTTTTCTTCCAAGGAGCAAGCATCTTTTAATTTCATGGCTGCAGTCACCTCTGCAGTGATTTTGGAAACCAAGAAAATAAAGTCTATCACTGTTTCTATTGTTTTCCCATCTATTTGCCATGAAGTGATAGGACCAGTTGCCATGATCTTCATTTTTTGAATGTTGAGTTTTAAACCAGCATTTTCACTCTTCTCTTTCACTTTCATCAAGAGGCTTTTTAGCTCCTCTTCACTTTCTGCCATAAGGGTGGTGTCATCTGCATATCTGAGGTTATTGGTATTTCTCCTGGCAGTCTTGATTCCAGCTTGTGCTTCATCCAGTCCAGCATTTCTCATGATGTATTCTGCTTATAAGTTAAATAAGCAGGGTGACAATATGCAGCCTTGACATACCCCTTTCCCTATTTGGAACCAGTCTGTTGTTCCATGTCCAGTTCTAACTGTTGCTTCTTGCCCTGCATACAGATTCCTCAGGAGGCAGATAAGATGGTCTGGTATTCCTATCTCTTTAAGAATTTTCCACAATTTGTTGTGATCCACACAGTCAAAGGCTTTAGCATAGTCAATGAACCAGAAGTAGATATTTTTCTGGAATTCTCTTGCTTTTTCTATAACTCGACGGATGTTGGCAATTTGATCTCTGGTTTCTCTGTCTTTTCTAAATCCAGCTTGAGTATCTGGAAGTTCTTGGTTTATGTACTGTTGAAGCCTGGCTTGGAGAATTTTGAGCATAACTTTGCTAGCATGTGAGATGGGTGCAATTGCGCGGTAGCTTGAACTTTCTTTGGCATTACCTTTCTTTGGGATTGGAAAGAAAACTGACCTTTTCCAGTCCTGTGGCCACTGCTGAGTTTTCCAAATTTGCTGACATATTGAGTGCAACACTTTCTCAGCAACAACTTTTAGGATTTGAAATAGCTCAACTGGAATTCCATCACCTCCACTAGCTTTTTTCGTAGTGATGCTTCCTAAGGCCCACTTGACTTCACATTCCAGGATGTCTGGTTCTAGGTGAGTGATCACACCATCGTGGTTATGTGGGTCATTAAGATCTTTTTTGAATAGTTCTTCTGTGTATTCTTGCCACCTCTTCTTAGTATCTTCTGCTTCTGGTAGGTCCATACTGTTTCTGTCCTTTATTGAGCCCATCTTTGCATGAAATGGCTTCCCTGGTGGCTCAGATGGTAAAGCGTCTGCCTACAATGTGGGAGACCCAGGTTCAATCCCTGGGTTGGGAAGATCTCCGGAGAAGGAAATGGCAACCCAATCCAGTATTCTTGCTTGGAAAAATCCCAAGGAAGGAGGAGCCTGGTAGGCTACAGTCCATGAGGTCGCAAAGAGTTGGACATGACTGAGCAACTTCACTTTCACTTTCACTTTGCATGAAATATTCCTTTGGTATCTCTAATTTTCTTGAAGAGATCTCTAGTCTTTCCAGTTCTGTTGTTTTCCTCTATTTCTTTCACTGATCACTTAGGAAGGGTTTCTTATCTCTCCTTGCTAGTCTTTGGAACTCTGTATTCAGATGGATATATCTTCCCTTTTCTCCTTTGTTTTTCACTTCTCTTATTTTCTCAGCTATTTGTAAGCCCTCCTCAGACAACCATTTTGCCTTTCTGCATTTCTTTTTCTTGGCTATGGTTTTGATCATCACCTTCTGTACAATGTTACGAACCTCCACCCATAATTAATCAGGCACTCTATCTATCAGATCTAATCCCTTGAATCTACTTGTGATTTCCACTGTATAATTGTAAGGGATTTGATTTAGGTCATACCTGAATGGTCTAGTGGTTTTCCCTACTTTCTTCTATTTAAGTCTGAATTTGGCAATAAGGAGTTCATCATCTGAGCCACAGTCAGGTCCCGGGCTTTTTTTTGCTGACTGTGTAGCGCTTCTCCATGTTCTCAGAAGGAGTTATGTGCTGACTCAGGCTGTGTGTGTGTGCTACATTGCTCAGTCATGTCCAACTCTGTGTGACCCCATGGACTGTAGCCCACCAGGCTCCTCTGTCCATGGGATTCTCCAGGCAAGAACACTGGAGTGGCCTGCCATGACCTCCTCCAGTGGATCTTCCCAACCCAGGGATCAAACCCACGTCTCCATGTCTCCTGCACTGGCAGGCAGATTCTTTACCACTAGGCCACCTGGGAAGCTCACCTTGGGCTCTTGTTGTTCAGTTGCTCAGTCACTAAGTCATGTCTGGCTCTTTGTGACCCCATGGACTGTGGGATGCCAGGCTTCCTTGTCATTCACTATCTCCCAGAGTTTGCTCAAACTCATTTCTACTGAGATGGTGATGCCATCAAACTGTCTCATCCTCTGTCACCCCCTTCTCAGAACTTCTGCCCTCAATCTTTCCCAGCATCAGGATCTTTTCCAATGGGCTGGCTCTTTGTATCAGGTGGCCAAAGTACTGGAGCTTCACCTTCAGCATCCGTCCTTGCAATGAATATTTAGAATTAATTTTCTTTAGGATTGACTGGTTTGATCTCCTTCTGGTCCAAGGGACTCTCAAGAGTCTTCTCCAACACCACAGTTTGAAAGCATCCATTCTTCAGCGCTCAGCCTTCTTCATGATCTGACTCTTGTATCCCTACATGACTACTAGAAAAACCAGAGCTTTGACTGCACAGACTCAGGCTGAGTGTGTGGCAAAATTAAGGAGACTGGAAAAATGAGAGAAGTTTAAAATTTTGTTGACCAGCATTTCGTTCTATTGATCAGTGGAAACCGATAGTTCAGGGAATCTTTTATATGGTAAAGAATAGGAATTCAGAAGGACGGTGTGTCGCCTTGCCCCAGGTATCCGAGGGAAGCAATCAGGAATCTTATGTAGGTCCTACTGGATGAGGTGTTTCTTTGCAGTAAACCATTGCCAGAGGAGAAAAGAGTTGGGAGATTTCTTCACCATCCATTTTTTTCAAGAGTGCAGGGCTCAGGTAGAATTCAACGTTGTCATCTCTTTCCACTTTATCAGGCGGCTGTCCTGCCACTGCCCCTCAGACTGCGTGTATCGGTGTTTAAAGCACACTCTGCTTTCATGTCTCCATCCCGACAACATCCTCCCTCTTTCTCTTAGTCTCCAAAACACAGCTTTGAAATGTGGTTGAATCTTAGGCAAAATGTTGACGGAAAAAGAGTCCATACTATAC